AATGATTGTTACAATTAGATAAATTGAAACCCCAAAACCCCAAAACCCCATGCAATAGTTGTTGGAGACTTATCGAAATATTAAGAGTAATTAATAAGCATTTAATATATATATATAAGTTTTGAATTATCAGTAATGGGCAATAAGTTCTGTTGGGATGACAAGAGAAACGAATACAAGTATCATGCTAATGATTTAGAAGGGGGTGATTAGAACCAAGTTTAGGCCATCATTAATAATGTGCAGAAGGAATAGGAGATTAAATTAAAGTACTCCTCTGAAAATGAATAGAGTGTAAGCCTTACAAATTAAAATATGAATGAGCGTTTATTGAATTTTTAGTAAACTAATGAGAATAAATAGGAAAGAGATGATTAAAGCAGCTAGCAAGAAATCCCAAATGGAAAACAGGATAAGCAGATTGCATAATAGTCATTGGTGGCTTAATTAGGCGTAGATGATAATTTGTCAGAGTATAACTACGACTATGATTCAGATCAAGAAATATAGGAGATGTCCATACATCGCAATGAATTTGAAAAGGATGTAAAGTTTGTAAGTTACCATCTAAATACACCAAAATCAACAATACTTATCATATTCATAATTTACATTGGAAAATTTACGTTGTACTCTTTAGACCAAGAGAGGACTGATCGAAGAAATAGAAACAACACTGACTTATGAAGATAGTGAAGAATAATCTAAGCAGTGGGATTTGAAGTTAAGCAAGGATGATGTGAAAATTTTCATAAAAAAGGGGGGAAGCAAATTCAACACTGAGCAGCCCTACATAAAAACTGTGGTGCTCTTTAATGCTCACTATTCAATGAGAAAAGTTGTAGAGGTTGTAAGATTATCCATTGTTTTTAATAGCTTATTATCACTACAGATTTTCAATGAAAAGCACAGAATGAAATGGGATAAAAACGTTTTGAAATTGGAGATTATTACTTAGGAATTCAATAAGAATGTTTGGCTCAACTATCAACTGAATAAGAGTCCACTGAACTTTTCAAATAGAGATTTCCTTGACAAATAAATTAAATTCAGAGACAGAAATAACTTCTACTGCTACTATTCTACTATTCCTCTTGAGACTCAGAATCAGATAAAACCGATTCCTCCTAAAGTTGAACGTGCATAGACTATTTTTGGATTATAGAAATTAAGCCGTCGTCCTTAAGATGGCAAAATTGAGTACGTAATGATCATGCAATGCGATCTGAAAATGAAAATTACACCTAAACTAATTGGAATGTTTCTACCAGCTGGACTCTAGGAATGGGCTAGGAAATGCAACAAGTATATTGCTGACAATTATGATACTATTTGAGTGGATCTAATAACAAAATGATATAATAAGTGCACTTAACTGTGAGTAAGTTAAAAATTTTTCATTACTACTGCCGTAAATTCAAAATTCAAGCAATAATGGGGTTTTGGGGTTTTGGGGTTTTGGGG